TAGTGGGATAGAGGGACCGAGAGGAGTGGTTGTAGTGGGATAGAGGGGCCGAGTGGACTGGTTGTAGTGGGATAGAGGGACTGAGAGGAGTGGTTGTAGTGGGATAGAGGGACCGAGTGGACTGGTTGTAGTGGGATAGAGGGACCGAGTGGACTGGTTGTAGTGGGATAGAGGGACCGAGTGGACTGGTTGTAGTGGGATAGAGGGACCGAGAGGAGTGTTTGTAGTGGGATAGAGGGACCGAGAGGAGTGGTTGTAGTGGGATAGAGGGACCGAGTGGACAGGTTGTATTATTCATTCAGAATGAACGAGCAGTAAAGTTTAACCTGGCGGTGTGGGGAAAAAAACCCTGCAGTTTGTGGCTGCAGCATCTGTGGAGTTTATATTGTTTTTACATGTCGAAGTTTGTTCCTTTTGTGAAGTTTTATGCTGCTGTTGAAAAAAGTGAATTTAGAGCAAATTGGAGCAAAAGGAAACATAATAAATGTCAATCATACAGTATCAACAGTTGTCTTCATGGTCTGTATCAAATGCATTAGCCATATTCAGAAAGATATGTTTATTCATGAGTCAGCCAATTTAGCAAAGTCACAGAATTAAGCTACAATCTTAAAATAGTTACTGTATGTGTGTGTGTGTGTGTGTGTGTTACTTGACAACAAAGACTTGACAACAAAGATATGCATGCAGATAACTGTACATGGCAGTATGTTCATCTACTATCCAAAAGCTAACACAACACCACCATCGTTATAATCAAGTGTCCAAATAACAATTATTTCAGATCTTTAAATTGCACCCAAACCCACACAAAGCAAATAAACTCCAGCATCACTGCTGCAGAAACACCTCTGGGAAAACATTGGTCATGTGTAAGGCCTAGACTATCATCACCATCACAGACATTGTTATCATCGTCTGTGTCACATACAAACACTGTACAACATATACACAGAAAAACAATGGCGTCGTCATCCAAACTACAGAAGTACTCTTAAAAAGGCATTTGGCTAAGATAATGAAGATAATTAAAACCAACAGGAATAACATCAAAAAAAATAAGCACATGACGTTTGGTGTCTGTAGAGGCACAACCGAAATGGGAAGTCATCATAGACTAAATGTATCTCCACTTTCTCCCAGAAATGCTTTATGACATTTGCTGAATCTGTCCAATATTACAAGAGACGTAATAATCTGCATTTCTGTTTTTTTTAAGGTGGACTGTTAGTATTTTTGTCAGTTCATCCAATTGGAGTCCATTCAGTTTATTCAGCAGTAACTGAGCTTCCTGTAAACACACTCGCAGTGATTTCGATCCATTTTCCATTATTGTTGCGGCTGAGGCTAAGCTGGTTTAATTATTTTTGTTTGAGGCTCTTTGACTTTTGAAACTCTTGGATAAGCTTTCAGGGAAGCGAGCCAGCGAAACAGTGCATGAGAAAGACGATGTGGCATCATGGGAAAGGCTTTGTTTGGATCAATAGTTCCAAGGCAGGTTTTGTTAAATATTACAACTTTTTGATTGAGTCTCATACATGAAGGAATTGTCCATCTTTACTTATGTGACCTACGCACCTTCCTACATGGTTAAACTGAGGCCATACCATTTATTCTCCAATCTCCATTTCCAATATAGCACACTATCACTCACACACACAGACACCCACACATTAATATAATTATAATAATACAATTAATATATACATCATTTACACACAGAATAGTGATTGAACAACCTATTTTTCCTGGTTTTATAATTAATCAAATCTCTTTATGTGAATTTTCAACATATGGATTCATGATCCTTATGGACCCTTAACGATTTTAAAGTTAGTGAGCAGGTAGAATACATTAGCAAGTGTCCCAGTATTTACGTTACACCAGCGAGAAATTACGAGCACACAAGTCACTAGTTACATTCTTCCATCTACATTATCTGTGGCCAAGTACAGAACGTCAAATACCATGACAGACTCTCAGAGGTTGGAGCTGAGTGAGTTTTAAAATGGGCACTAAAAACACGAAAGATCTTTTTATCAGTCCGTTGGTAGTCAACACGTTTAATAGCTTGCGGCCATAGACACTGCCAGTGTTTCTTGTTAACTGGTGACGACGGCTGTTGAAAACAAAATATGTCGGCATCCTCGTAAAATCAATTCCAAACACTAACTCATCTGTTTCTATAATCTACGCCAACCATTCATGGAATGAGCAAACATGGAGGCATTCCGCTAAGAGTCACCAGTTAACACGGTCACTCGTTAAGCTGAAACACCTGCTGAAACGGTTGTGATCCTGACGAAATTCTGTTGAACATGAGTCCGCTTTTGATGTAACGATTCTGACAACCGAACATGCAACAACCTGACTTTTTGAGGCGTTTCACAGTTTTAGTTCACTGTTTAAAGCTTTCTAAATGGCCTGGATGGTTGGGGCAAAACATAATGTCTGTTTTCCAACATGTGCACAGAGTGGCACATTGCTAATTAGATACCATGTTCTAATAGCGTGTAATATCCCTCTGACACTGATTTACACATTGAAGAGGTTTGAAAATTCCAATCCAATAATTGCCAGGAGGCGTGAATCATTTTTTCGCACAGCCCTGTAATTTTAGGATGACACGCATCTTGTGACCAGCAGTGAGACACAGCGTGTTAAAGATGTGTTTGCTATCACTGTAAAACAGTGCCTTAAAAGGGAAATATTGTAGCTACAAAATAACTACAGGCTGACCGATTGATGACAAATTATTCCCCCCATTATGATCATGTTATCATTCAAACTCACTATGCTGAATACTGCCTTTCTGAGCCATTCATAGTTTGATCTCATGCTCCAGTGGAAGACATGTTTGCTCCCCGTTCTTGAAGAATAGTTGACTCAGTGCTCAGTGATTGTCAGATTTAGTGGCCAGTCGCCATGTTTTTGTACTGGCTGTAAGCAGTAACACTGAAGATGGAGAAGATGGAACGTGTTTTATACTGTACGTTTTCAGAGAGATATTGGCGTCAATATCACAATGAAAAGGCCAGCAAAATAAACAGCTTTCAGCACAGTGGATTTAGGGGCAATGGGAACTCTGGTTATGCTGGTTCTGTAAATACCGTTATATTGTTATGATCGATATGAGCCAATTAACGTTCTATCAAAATGCAAATCAATATATTTATTTTCTCACACAGTCCTTCCTTCTTTTTTTCTTGTCATGTAAGAAACATGTAGTCCAGTCTAAACGTTTGTTTGTCTTTTACAGATTTATAGTTTTTATCAAATAGATCAAATAAAAAAATATCAAAATCACTTATAATTACTCAACAAAATACAAACACATTGTTTTTCTCGTGACTGTACAGCTTTCAGTCCCCTTTTTCCTCGTCCTGTTCCTTTTAAATTAAATGTAAATATGGTCTGAACCAATCAGAAGCAGTCAGCGGATTCTTTCCTTCTTTCTTTCCCCATGTGGCTAATTTATTTTGAATGTCTCTGCTCCTCTCTGTAGTCCAGCATACTGGTCATCACAAAGATAAAGGTATTGCCATCCGGCATCAGGGAGGTTAAAGAGGTCAAACTGTCCATGTGATCCATCAGCAAACACCAGAGCGACCTTTCTCAGACATCCTGAGGAAGACTCTGGTCTCTGTAGCCTGAGGAAGAAAGGAGAGAGAAAGACTTTTGAATGCTTGTAGAAATGATTGTAAAATCTATATTCTGGCTTTTATAGCCCCAGTTAAGAGGGTTTCAAAGTGCTGCATGTAATTTCGAAGAATTTATTTTGAACTTTTGACCATAATTGCTTTTCTCCATTTCTTTTAATTGAGAGAAATGAAAGCAACAACCGAAAAGGAGCTCGGCTGGAGCATTAGGCGGCAATGCTTTATCAAGTAGCCCATTGGCTGGCAAGCCATTATCCCCAGCTTCCCCAAAGTGGGAAACAATACCAGTCTGTCTGGTATTATGGTTTTAAATGGATTTGAAACTTTCAATTCCACCAGTGTGGAATAGGAAGCTTCTCTTATCAATGAGCCAACGTTTCTAAAAACAGAAGTGTAACAGCTTCACACAGCACATTTTCAATGCAGAGCTTATTATTTTCCTGCGATCATTTGTAGGCTATTTTTATTTATTTATTTATTGTTTGCTGTGGATTGGGCAGAACAATACATCCATTCACTTATCATACCAATAATTTAAAACTGTTTAAGGAACTAACATTTGTTTGTATGTGTTTGTGGCTGCCGCCTCTGTGGAGTTTCTTTTGTTTAAACATGTCCACCTTGTGGATGTTTTCTTCTACTGTTTCAGGGACCGTGGAGTCCATAGCTCATTTTATTTATTGTCTGAGTTTTGTCTCTCTCTGGTTAATTCGTGTGGGGCTGCACTGAGGGAGGCAGCTGTATATTTATTATTTAATCGATAATCTGTTGTATGCACAGACAGCAGATCTCCTCTGTTGGTTTGGACAAACCCCCTCTTTTACTTTAGTACATTTGTACTTTACTACTTTTACTTTTACTTGAAGAGAAAGTCTTTAAAGTAGCAGTACAGTACTCTTTACACCTCTGCTTTGAAGCCATGCACGCACCTTTATTAGTGGATGGAAGCTGCTCAGTTGTCCTGGAGCTTTCCAGGACAACTGAGACCCTTACATGGACTTCCTCATCAGATCATCACTGCTGATCAAGACTGTGATTGATAGAAGCTCTAATGCTTGTAAGGGGACCTTGAGTTTGGATTGATTGACTTTATTTCTTATACTTTATTTTCAAAGGTCATGAAGGAATGCTTGAGTTAATGAGTTTTTTTATATGTTTTTCTAAGTCTGGGAAATGTGGTTATTTGTTTTGGCTTATTCAGAATCAATGTTAAATTTAGCAACAGCTGACTATTCATTATATCTTTTACGTGTTTCTACACATGACTCCACAATGTCATCAACTCTCTGTGGGACTGTTAGTGAGGGGGAAAAAAGAGAAACACCTACCATCAGAGACTTGAGTTGATGAAGCGGAGGAGAGAAAGAGAGACAGTTACTTTTGAAATATTATCATACAGAGATCGACGAGACAAAACCGGCTTTTTTTCACAAAAAGAGAAATTCCCACAGAGCATTCCGGTAACTTTCAAGGGAAAGGAAAGAAAAAAAACATCTTTCAACATGATCTGACCTTTGAGTCAGATACATTACATGATCAAATGAATACACATACAGTAACATAACCCTGGTTTGTTGGATCGATGAGCAGAAACATGGAGACAAGGACGGAGAGGGAGACTGGGTAAGGGGGGCAGAGAGTGGGAGGAATAATGTGAAAGAGAGGGAGCAAGTTCAAATAGGAACAATCACTAGATAGGGAAAGAGGCAGATCTTCCTCCCACTGATCGCCTGAAGGAAGGGCGATCAGTGGGAGGATGATAATACCATGATCATTAGACAGATAGGAGGAAGAGGAGAGACGGAGTGAGGTCGAAAACAGTAGAGAAGAGGGGATGTTTGGAAAGAAAAAGTCCATTGATCATATGCAATGTCATCTCATTGAAGACAGAAGGAGAAATAGATATGCCACATTATCAGTAATTCATGGAGGAAGAAGGAGGGAATAGCTACAAAGAGTGTATTGTGGTGATGAATAGTTGAACAATAATTGATCTTATTGAAGCAAAAAGCATGCACGATTTCACCTTGGCCTTTAGTGCTCACGTGAAGATGTTTTTTAATTCAATATAAATATTCACTACGCCGTCAAAACAGGAGTTTTAATTTCAAGCAGCAGCAATTGAATAAGACGTGTGCCCAGAGGCCTGGAAAACAGTGGGGAGCAGTGAACAAAAACTCACCAGGGGGGCCGCTCACTCCGACACACACACACACACACACATACACACACACAGACACAATTACTGTACCTCACACACACAATCACACAGATTCTTGCAGGCATGTAAATACCAACAGTCATTGGGTTGCACACGCCGGCAGCAATTACCTCACAAATGCACACTCGTACACACAAAGGAGAGAGCGCTGTGGTAATTCAAAGGCTGCCTTGGTGCAGAGAGAGAATTGTGACTTTTTGCGTGTGTGTGTGTGTGTGCACAGGCACTTGTTCATGCATCCATGCCTGAGGAGAACACACTACTTTCTGACAGAGAAGGCAGTTAAAATAACCCAACCTCCCATCTGTGTTCTCTGCATCAACCACTTTCTTTCTTTCTATCTTTCTTATATCTGATGGTTCTGAAAGAAAAATATATTAGTAGCATTGCACAGAGCTGCTACGATTTGCTGGCATTATTCAACATATTTTTCTAATTTTGTGGCAACATCCGGGTGCAACACTATGTTGACGTCTTATTAGCTCAGATTGAGCAAAACCCGACCCGACGCCTCTCAGTGCTTTCCGACTTCCCCAACCTGTCCCAGCCCGTTGGTTCCTACTGAAGAGGCTTTAAATGGGGCTCACAAATACTTTGTTTCATTTTTTTTAAAGGCTAATAGTTCCCTTAAACTGCTGGGCCATGTCATTTCCAGCCAATGTTACTCACAGCAGTAAACATTTATGCATTTATTTGGGACAATTTTCAGGCGTGGATTAATAAACATTTTGTGTACAGTGAGTATTTACGGTGGCATGGCACGAATTTTGTGTGCGTCAAAATGTAACCGGAGCATCATTGGTGTCTTGTAATAGTTTTTGTACATAACTAGAGCTCTATGACACCAATGAATACGTTATATCAGACTTTAACCTCACAGACAAAACTTGTTATGCTCTGTCTATGCTTGCGCGAGCCTCCGCAGATGTCGCGCAAGCTCCGAACATGCACAGTGCGCTCTTTGTTGCATTAGTGGGCATACAAACAAAATGAACTGTGAAGAATCAAAAAGAGAAGAAGAAAGAAAAAGACGAGTGTAGCCTAACCAGCAAAAAGCCATAAAGCAACCTCCACATTAGTGTTGCACAGGCGCTGTAAAGAAACACGTCGTATTACATGCATTATAAAGAGACGAAGGTTGAATGATTTTGCTGGCAAAAATATATACTAAAATAAAGACTTTTAAGCATTTCTTAAGCATCTAAAAACAAATCGGCCAATAATTCAGAGGTGCACGCCCAAACGCTGCGACCACTTGCGGACCCTTTGCTCACACCGTGATTACGTCATTTTCTGGCGTGCACGCCTCGTGCTGGCATCACTACAGCGAGTACAAACTAAGCTTTAGAAGGATCAGTTCATTGCTAATCAGTTTGTTGAAAACTGGAAAAGTATAGAATACCGCTAGACTTGTCTTTCAAATATTTTACGACAAACAACTTGGAAAGAAAACTTCTGGAAAACTTTAAGTGGTGGCCAATTTCCCACCACTCTACAGGCTGTGGTAACCATAACATTTTGTGTGACACCAATATTAACCCTGACACTGGAAGACTGTAGACTGAGTTTGTACACAAGTATTGTGATATGATTTTCATGTTGTTACATTTTTATAGTTGTTTGAATTCCCCCTTCTGCACGTCATGCGACAAACAAACAAAAGCAAAGGAGACAAGACTAAAATAAAAACAAAGAGAGATGAAGAGAAGAAGGTCCGACAGAAAGATAAACACAACTAGATGGGCACTGACTTGCCAGGATGACCATGTCCATTCCCCAGAAGATGCTCATGATCCATCCAACCATGACAACAGCTGTCAGTATCTGGATGAGGGCTGCCGCCATGTTGAGCCAGAACACACAACAAACACCTCGCTCCGAGATCAGCTCGTTTCGAGCTCCACACAGCACCGCGAACGCCGAGATGAAGGTACCTGTGGGACAAAAAGAAGAAAAAACGTCCTGTTACCAACAATGCATTTGGCTCGGTGATGAGTTCAAACAAACATGACGAAAAGTTTTTCACTCTGGTTGATTTCCCTTTGAAGGATACCGGACAGCAAACGTTCCATTGAAATAAACCAGAGGCTTGTACGTGCACGCCTCTACTGATAACACGACACAAGTAAATTCCAGTGTAATCTTAGCTAAACGTTAACTTCAGAATATGCTCACAATGACACACATGCTGATGTTTATTTGGTAACCAAAGTATTAAGTGACCAAAGGTTCATCATCTTGACACCATGGATATCTGCACCAATTCCATTTGATAGTTGTCAAGATGTTTCATTAAAAATCAAACGAATCAACCTTATGAAAGGTCTGGCTGCACAATAGAACCCAGTCCCTGTGTAAATGTCAAGTGGCCGCCGCTTGTGAGTATCTAGCCACGACAGCAGTGGATCTGTGCCTGAGAAAAGAGCACAGAAAGACACGGACACATCGTCGCTCACACCCACTGGGCTTCAAACAGGACTATCTCCGTGGACAATCCTCGTCTGCTTGAACGAAATCTAATCTAATCACTCCTTATCTTGTTATCTGGAGACCTAGACCTTCACAGGCACCGCCCACTGTACAGCACTGTGTGTGTGTGTGTGTGTGTGTGTGTGTGTCTCGGTTCACACTAATCCGATTATTTTATTACAGGATGTTTCCATGACAACCTTCCCTCAGGAATAAGATATATGAATTTTACTATTTGTATAATAGCTCCACTGCATGTTATCAATGACATGTTCAGATTTGCTTACTAAGCGATCATTGTACCAACCTGCAGTGTTTTCTTTGCCATTATTTCTAGCACTCTAGCATTGTTTGTTACAGTCTATATGACATCCATACATTCATTTTTGTGAATGGGACAAGACCAGATAGCAACACCTGAGTCTATGAGAAGATTACTCTACTTCTCACTTGATTTGATAGCTCAGTAAACATTGTGAACATGAGTTCATGATCTTAATCGTTAGTTTCAAGTCTTCTGCAGTCATTACTTAATAGATTTCTATTCATTAATATTGTGTTTTCTTTTATAAAAAAAAGAAGAATCAGCTGATGTTTAGACCTTCTCTCCGCAGGCTTTTTGTACTCTTTTGCAACTACTGAACTGAACACTGAATAGTGAATGCGACACAGGAAATGCCTTGTGGGAGTAGTGTGCATCATGGTCTTGGCCCTTCTCTTTCTGCTATATCTCCATTTCTTGTCACATTGGAGGAATTCAAATAACAGTGCGAGTCAAACAGGTTGGGGGGGAGGGAGGAATAAAAAACGGCCGGGCTGCCAGCTCAATCTCGTTTCTCAGGAGCGAGGAAAGGCCAAAGTTGACTCATGTAGAAGTTTCTTATCGCTGTTTCTCTGTTTTTCCTCTCTCTTTCTGATTAGCTACGTAATCAGGCCAAATAGTAACTGAGGGCTCTGTCATGATGAATCTTTCTATAGAAACACAGACGGACCAATTTGTCCCATAATCTCTGACAAATCTAAATGCACACCCTAATATTTACTTTCACATGCCCCACACTGCCTTATTTGGAATGGTCAAACTCTGGTACAAGCACAATCCCAGAATAGTGAGCAGCCCGGCAAAAGAAAAACAACGTTTAAAAAAAACCTGTTTATGTGGAAAAGGAGAGATGAAGATATTTACTTTTCCCTTCAAGCTTTTAACCGATGCTCATTTCAGATGCATCTCACGGAAAGAGCAACAGTGGGCTTAATTGAGAGCCGATATGGTCTGACCAGACAGAAACATTCTCAGGTCGCAGAGGCCACGCCCACCAGCAGATGCTCTGGCTTCTGGCCAAGCTGCCCACCGCCACACATGAGCCGTGATTGACAGCAAGCCTTGTGGCTGAATGGTTACACATCACTTCCATCAGTGGAAACCAGCTAGTAAACACTTGACATATTCTCCCCTTTTAGTGGGATACAAGTTGCACAGATGCGATTGACAATAACGATGCATTGCTTTATACTGTCTCCTACTAGTAGCTTTGAAAAAAAAAAAAATAGTGAATTTGAATTAACAACATTTTTAAGGTCTAATGCCCAGGAAAATGTCCCCCTGATACGCGTCTGATCAGTTGCACTTTAGCAGAGCAAAGCTCGTCTGCCTTTGATACAGTTATTGCATCCAAGCATCATTTCTTTGCTTTCTCATCATCCCACCAACGTCTCTCTGTTTCACGGGCAGAAGAATGAAACAAACGTTATTCATGGGTTCAAACACTGCAGCTGTCATTTAAAAGAAACGTTCCGTTAATGAAAGAATAATTCTGCCCCACAGGCAAAATCAAAGCAAAAAAAATGATCTCTCTGTTCCACACTTTGTAGCTGCTGACCTCATACAGCGCCTTTCAAACTAAACCATTAATTGATGCAAACAAAGCAAGGGGATAGCTTGCTGTGAGTGAATGTGTACAGTTAGATAGAAAACACACTGTATGTGTGCTCAACAATCCTCAACAAAAGATTTAATATAAAGGTATATTAAATCTTTTATCTTCTTGGTTTGAGAAATCTACTCTTAATAATCCATTATGTGTGACGAGCTCTTAGATTCCCTATATGTTGCATGTGGGAGATGCGTGTGTGTGTGCGTGTGTGTGTGCGTGTGTGTGTGTGTGTGTGTGTTTGTGTGTGTGTGTGCGCGTGCATAGATAATACCCAGACTAATGACTATAATTACACGGAGAACACTACAAAGCACCCACTGGTATAGTGTGGGAGGTTAATGATGGCGTGTAAAAGATATAAAGATGGAAAAAGGGAGAAGGGAAAGAAAGTGAGAAAGACAGGTGAAGCAGTGTGCTTTGACCCTTTTAAATTGTTATTGGACCAGAAGGATCACATTCTGTTTTACAGTCATTTCAAGAGGGTTTGTGGCAACCAGAAAAGTCAATTCAACATGTTCTGATAATTGTCTTAATTCTTTTGGGCCAGTGGCCGTCATGTGCAATAACAAAATGGCCTTTCAGGCGTGCACTGCTCCTGGTGCACATCTTCTGCTGCATTTAACAAAAATAAGCAGGAAGTTATTTATGCACTTTACACAGACGATAGTCTCACCTCCAGCCCCTGCGCTAAGCTAACATGCTCTCGATGAATCTCTCTCCTGAACGCACAGAAACGAAAATGACATCAATGCCAATGAGTCAGCAAACAAGCCGACCCCCTGAAAATGTCATAGACACACAGTGTGACATGGATTGGTAACTCCTAACGCAATTACTAAATTTCAAATTCCAATCCCCTACACAAAGCACTGCTGCTGTAAAAAAAATGCACAGAAATCAGATAAAGTGGCACGGGAGAACCTGAACCAGAACCAAGGTTAGCACAAAGTCAGGCGCCTGCTCCAGTGAAATGACTTGGTTGAATGGTTTTCTAAAGGGACACTACCACTGTCTTCCACAGGGACTGCCACAATCAACACAAAACGAAAGTTCTTCATAGTAACTTTAAAATGTGTATGTATTCTGAAAATACACACATTTCTATGTTTATTTTAAATCCGTCAACCAATGTACAGTTGTCTATGAATATCAACATCACTAATCTATATTCATATCCTAGCTCAGGGACTGGTACTTGATCCGTTTATAGATGTTGGAGATGTTGCTTAACATGAGAGACATTAAACCATCCTGATGAGCTGAACTGATGCTGTGTCTCCAACATCACATTTCATCAATCATACACACACACTCACGCTGAGGATTGAATCATATATTCACCCTCTGTGTCTCACACTGTCTATTCCACTTATGGCAAAGATTGTAACACAACTAGAGCGCTGAGCCGTTGCACATACAGTAAGTATGTGTAATTATTTACAAGCCGACAGCTCTTTAAACGGCTAACGCTGCACTGACTAACAGCTTCTCTGCTACTCAGTGGATATTTACTCAGTCTTCAGGGGACATCTTCATGACGCTGCAGCAACATAAGGTCAGGCAGGATTAATGTGAAGTTAAAACAAGCGGACTCAACGGTGTTGACCATAGACTCTTTACATTCACGCTATCCTGTTGAAATGCACCCTTTTTCATCACCTTTGAGGCTCGATCAGGAAGACATCAAACCTACTATATATTTTAGATATTCGGAGGCAGTTTTTGTCAAATAAAAACATTAGGCCGCTGTGTCTTTGTGAAATCATGTACTCGAGTTACACCAGAAATTGATCTTTTCATCCTCAGTGTCTCAACAGTAACAGGAACAACAGTCAACATGTGTTACCTCCTCGCTCTAGCTCCGTAGTTAACGCGCTAACATGAGAGTGGTACCTATCTTCTTATATAACTCAGCAAGAAAGTAGATGTTGAACTTTTCATTTGTCTCCTACCAACAGTCAACCTTCATTTCTTCTAAATGAGTCGTTCTCTGTGAACTTTACTCACTTTCTTTATGTTGGATGAGAAGACGTCTGTGTGCTGTAAAGATGAAGCTTACTGTAGCCTATTAGTGTGATGAAAAAAACCAGAGAAGCAATTTGTTCACATGCTGATTTTTGAACTCGAGACGTGCTATTAGTCATATTTTGTTACCTTCAGACAAAACCAGGCTAGTCTTGTTTGCTATTAGATAAACGGAGCTACAAAGAAGTATGATAGTGGACAGATCCAGCCATCTGAAACAAACTCCATGTACGCCATCTCATTTATGTGATCTTCAAGAAATGTGACTTGAGATTTGAAAGGTCAGCTGAATTTGTTTAAGCTTCTGTTGTGCTGCAAAGTGTTTGTGTTTTTTCACAGTGATGCACAAAATGCATTTGCATTTTACAGCCACGAGGTTGAATAGAAGAAGCTGCCGTCTTCAGTCAGTTAGACCGAGAACGGCATTGACACACACGCGCCGCTCACAGTACGCGTGCATTGTGTTCATTCCAGTCAGCGTTGTCATGGCAACTAACCGCAGCTGTTCAACAAAATGTCAATGCATTCAGGCCAACCTACACACACACACACATACACTCGTACTGTACACACACACACATACCTAGATAAGGGTGTCACCTTGATGCTTTTCAAACACGTTGGGGACAATCTCTACTGCAACATGTCAGAGCAACGTTCCTGCCAAAAAACGAGGGAAAAACTGATCATTTGGTTTGTTTTCTTACACAGATGTTTGTGAAATTTTCAAGCGGTCAGTTATTCAGTGTTAACTGTAAAAAGGTTTGCAGCAAACAGACTGCTGAATGTGTGACTGAAAAGAATGAATGAATGAGGGAAAAGATTCAGAATTTGGTATCTGAAGCCTTCTTCTGGAGGGAAAGATAACAGAGGAAGAGAAGATGGAAGAGATGACAAACACGTATACGTCTCTGGAGAGCTTTGACCAATAGATCAGAGGCGAGAGGAGGAGGGGACACATCTGAGGTGATTTGGTGATCGCTATCGAGACATCAGTCTCATAATTACGTCAGATTTTTTTCTTCTAATTCCAACATATTTAAATATCCTATCCTAGAATGAAGCTCTTGTCATTCTCATTTTAGGTGCTGCTTTTGAACTGATTTACTGAAGTTATCCAGATTAGTGAATGACTGCATGCGGGTGTCTGAATGTACGGAGGTGTTTGTGTGTGTGTGTGTGTGTGTGAGTTAGTCATGACTCCACAGGTTTTGTGCCATCTGTTTGAGTGTCTTTAGCCACCAGATGTTGTTACATAATCTTACTATACACAGAAATCCATGCACAGACATCCAACCAAGTGGAGGATCAAGAGGCAAAGAGGCAACCTAACAAAAGAAAATGATCTGGATGTGCATCAAAGTACACAAAGTGAAAGAACTGGACAGACGTCCTTAGAATACCTAAATCTTGAGATTATTAGGGCTTTAAAAACGGGTGAATTGCTCAAAGTTTAAAGCGAGTTAGACTCAGCAAAACTGAGTTATAGCTATTTAAATGTATCTGTAAAAAATATCTTCTAAGACGAGCTACTGAGATCACATCGTACAGCTACAGTATCAAGATTTCTACACATGATATCGACACAAATGTTGATTCGAGCAACAGTGACGATGTCTCTACCAGCTGTTCAGATGCAGCCGCCCACAATGTGTATTTACGCCTTGACACGTTTATTATAGCACAAGGTGTGAGCAGTGTCTCCCGCCATCTTTCTCATCCCTTTTCTCACACATGTATGCACAGAGGAAAATTCACAGACATGCATAGGCAGATATAGACTTGAGTTGTTCTCCTGCACAGCTCGTAGCCATACCTACAAAAAGTAATGCAAAGTAATTCATATACATCCCAAATAAATCAATGTCCATGTAATCCACGTTACTGTAAACCAGGAAATGTAAAGAGCGACACATGGGGATGTTGTCTTATTTGTCACAAAACTTTGGTACTTAAGATAGTTATTAACCAAACCACAATCCTCTCTTAACCATGCAGTTTCCTATGAAGATGGACTTCTACAAAACACAAACAATGAGTCCAGAATGAGAGAAAAGGGAACTGTGGTTCCCAACTTACCGAGTCCAGGTATGAAGGTGTTAAGGAACAGACAGATGACCGCCAAAGGGAAAGGCATTGTGGGTATTGCAGCCCGCAGGGATCCCTTCTTCTCCCTGACCTCCACCACCACTCCTCCACCTGCTACAGGGGCCCCAGCTATGGCTTTGGCCCCTAGATGGTCCCCGGTTTTAAAACGCCCCTGCTCTTTTCCGCCTTCTTTCTGTGCCATCTTTCTGTCTTATTTTCTCCTATTTCTGGTTTGTGTCTGGAGACTGAAATAGCTGGTGATGAGCAGGAAAGCTAGTTGAGGATATTTTGTAGGTTTGAATGATTTTTCCTCTCAGTCACTCTCCCTCTGGAAGAAGTAGAAGCCGAAGATAATCAATGTTGATTAACTGTATCCTTTAAGAATTAGATCAAATATTCAGCAGTGCATCTCAACAGTTGGTTAACAATTCACCAGCTATATCACATTCGCTATGTCACTATTCATTCAAATAAATAACTACAAGTAGTGTAAATCTAAGATAAATTGGTAAAAAAAAGTCCATAAAATAACCACAATTGCAATATGTTCCCAAAGTCAACTAGAAAAACCTTCAAGCTGCTCCAGCTTTTGAAGTCCCACGAAACAGTCGGAAGTAAATCACAGACTTTTTCTCTCTGAAAATATCTTCAAGACTGTTGACTCATTCTCATCTCAATCCTTTTACGTTCCTTAAAATTGAGCATCAGAAGTCGAGATATCTGCCAGTTGTTTCCATGTCCAAAATCTTCTTAAGCAATGTTAAATCATGACAGTTCCTCCTCATAAATGTTGGGAGAAAAATCCCCGACTGATTTGAAGCTCTTTTTCTTTACAAATTTCCTCTGAAGTCACTTTCGTTCTGTCTTTTTCTTTCTTTCTTTTGGACAAATCTCACTGACACACCTCTCCAAGACAAAGAGAAAGTGCACATAAGACCCCCCCCCCCCTTTTTTTCTACTACATCTCTCTCTCCTCTCCTCTCTCTTCTCTCTCTCTCTCGACTCCCCATCCCCTCTCTCCATTTAAAGGAACAGTGCACCAATCTAATGTTGCACTTCAATATAACCAGATTTATATCTTTAAATACATATAGCGATGGACAATGAAAGAAACTGGAAAGCAAGGAAGACATGGAAAGTAGAAAAGAAGACATGAAATAAAAAGAGACCAAATAAAGACACATATCAGGACATGGAGGAGATAAAAGTGAAAGCAAAGCCAGGACAAAGTAGACGTGGGATTAGAAGAGATAAGAACGATTGGTCCGGACGATGGCGAGATGAAGGCAGAATCAATGCCTCAGTAATTATTCATGCGACCAAATCCTCTAAAGACCAGACATATATTTCTGTCCCCTCAACCGCCCTCCTTCTTCTCTGAGTTTATTTAAATTCCTTCACTTTTTTTTTTTATACTTCCTTTCTTCTTCCTCACCTCATCTGTCAGCATGAGCGCGACTTCATCACAAGAGGCAAAAACACACAAAACAATCAGTGCAACCCTGAAATCGTGTGTGTGTGTGTGTGTGTGTGTCTCTCTCTCTCTCTCTCTCTCTCTGTTTCTTCTTCTTCTCTTTCCCTCTCTCTCATCTCTGTTTGGTCTCCTAGCAACCCAGGAAGCTGTAGGTAATTATACGGTAGATTTGATCTCAAGGTTTTTGGTCGCCTCTCTCTCTCTCTCTTTCTCTCTCTCTCTCACTCTCTCTCACTCTCTCTCTCTCTCTCTCTCTCTCTTAATTTCTGTTCAATTCCCACTTTTAATTTCCTTTTAATCTTCTCTGACACACAAAAAGATAGCGGCCATAGAAGGCGGTTTTACTTATTTTTGTCATGCAAAGCAGCATTATCGTTTGTCTGACAGTGAGGGACTCTGAGGAACCTGGACCACTGAACTCAATCATCATTGGATTGTTCAGCCAAAGGCATGCTGTGTCATGTGCTGATGCTTATTACCATGACAACGTGACGAGAAAAGTGTAGAACAATCCATCAGAACAAACCTCTGATGGGTTTGTTCAATTTACAGTCTAATATCCCCTTTGTCTGTTAACGGTGAGCATCGTTATGCGCTAATTGTGTGTGTGTTTGTGTGTGTGTGTGTGTGTGTGTGTGTGTGTGTGTGTGTGTGTGTGTG